CTCAGTTCTGCCCAGCCAAAATCCAYGGGAAGCAGAATCACCACAGAACAAAATACTGCCATCAGCAGCCCCTACAGCCTGCCAGGATGCTCCCTTCAACTGCCCAAGCAGTGAGGAAGCACTTCCAGCTGAGTCTGCATGGCATGARGGGTTCAGACTGCCACCAGCAAAACTCCTTTGAAAGACATATACAGGTGYTTTAAGAGCTCTAGATAGGAACTTAATCTGTCAGTAGGAGTAAGTATTCAGGGCAGAAGTTAAGGGCTAGCAAGACTTGTAACAATAAAGTGTGTATTAATCCAGCGAAAGCACATAACCTGCTAAGCATACAGAGAGGAGAGTGCAGAACACAAGACAAAGTGCTAAAAAATTTTCTCATATGGCTGAGAAAAGCAAATGCATAACTTGTCTTCCTTGGTGAATATTGAAGAAGTGTCCTAGTGTCCCTTTTGGCTGTTGAAAATAAGGGCTGTACTACAGACTGGAGATCCCTAATTTAAAACAGAATGAAATACCACCTGGTAGGATCACAGATTAACTGCAGTCAGGCTCTACAGCATCTTAAGGGAAACTTCAGTGAGAGGCATGGCACCTGCTAGTGTTAGCTTCTGACTGCAGAACTCCACAGGAGCTGGACAGCCTGTGTTACACCAGCACAAGCTGGGAGTGATCAGCTGTTTAGCAAACACCTGAGTAGCAGTTTTTTCCAGCTCCCACTGATCTGCTGACCTATTTTAACTCCCATGCATAAAAGAAAGTATAACYTTGCTCTCTACCTTGAATAGTTGCTGACCCTGGTCCAAGCAATTTTGTGGAATTCAGGACTTGCTAACTACAACACTGCAGGGGAAAAGCTTGGGGGTCAGCTTTAACCCTAAGGAARGCCCTAAGAAAATTAATGGCAGTTACAGAATGTGATTGATACAGGCTGCATCCTCACCTACACATAAGCATCTCCAGCCCTTTGTACCCTGTACTGCCACTTACACTCAGGCAAAATGGAAGCAAAACTTGCACATTGGGATTTGTATCATGTGCCAAAATGCGGTGTGGGACACAAGGACTGTACTCAAATATCACTGGATTACTCATGGCAGGAGAACCCTGGCTCTGTTCCTCTGCTACAAAAGACCAATGACACTTCATAAGCTTAGTTTAGGCCAGAGCTGTGCTTACTGATCCAAGCAGCACCTCAGTCAGTGAAAGGCACCGCTGACCATGAAGGTAGCAGAATACACCCCAATCAATATTAAAAGCTTCTTTAAAGGCACCAGCTGTTTACTGCTGCTCTTAACCTTTGTGCTGTAGAGCTTAAATTAACCTTAAGGTACAGTCAGGACAAAAATCACCTCCTATATGACAGAGAAAGAAGCTGATTTTTGTAAAATTCTCTCATTTTTCTTTAGACCCAAAATACTCAGATATTTAACATCTCTGCACCAGCACCCAAGTTTACTGCTTCTTCCAATGACAGTGATTTGCTAAGTTACTGAGGGTAAAAAAGGAGATACAGGAGTGCACTAAAGAAGGAAACTAGTAGAAACAGCAAAGAAAATTCAGACTGGCTTTCTCCCTATCTCAGTATTTTCCTGCAATGCTTTTCCCTGCACCTGAAGTGCTAAGGATAAATAAATATCAAATCAGGCTAACCACAGGTGATCTTCTGTTCTCCAGGAACAGAACTACAGAGCCAAAAGAAGCAACATGTCTTCCAGTAGACAAGCCTGGGCATTCATGGAAACTAAGTCCCAGCAGTTCTGTCCAATGTATTTGCTGTATGTGTCATTAATAAGCAAAAATCCAGCTCAAAAACACCAGGCTGAGGAGAAATTTGGATCCTAACTTGGCCAGCTGGCTGGAATTATTAACCAGTTACATTTGTAGCTATGAAAGCTAATGAGAGARTAATCATATTTTACAGTTCACAGCCGAAAGTCATTTCCTTTAGGAATTAATGATGGTTTWAATCCCCCCTTCTTGTTGATTTCTATCCCTTAAACTGTGGATATGGGGATATGTCAGAGTTTTGAAGGCCACAGTTACTTTAATGTGTCTTCAAAGGGCAATACTTTGGTACAGTTACTTGGAGAGGAGAAGTGCTTGAACCTCTCCAAGGGAAAGAAGAGAAAAGCTGATCTTCCCTCATCTCYCCGCTCCCACCACACAAACATCTCTTGTCAGAGCAAAGAAATAGCAACTGGATGACTAAGTAATGATAATGACTGCTGCTCAGTGCACTGCTGGGCTCTGATTAGATTCTTCTTGGCCTCTAACCAGATTAAGAAAACAAACAAAAAAAAACAACAAAAAAACCCCAAAGAAAACACATTGGCTGTTTAGAAGAGGCAGGACTGATCCTAATAGGATCAGTACAATGCTCAGTTAAGATGCTCCAGGGTCATTGTCACTGTCCAGAAAGACCAYATCCTTCACTTCAGTGACTTGGAATGAAGTAAACAAAGACATTGCCCATCAGGCCATGAGCTGCTCCCACGACCCTTTGCATCGAAAGTTCCCTAGCCCAAAAATCACAGCTAAACAGGCTTTGGGGAACATCCACCTCTGGAAGCTCGGGGGTGTTGAAACTTTCACATCCTAAACTAACTGCCCTGTGCCAAACAGGCAGGAGCTATRAATGTATGAGCAGATTGGGAAGACATTAAGGAAAACGTTTGAAACACACTGTCCCTTCCAGAATCTCTGCCTCATCGACTCTCCATCTGTTCCTGAAAATTCAACGGAAAAAATGAAARCTCCATTTTCCTACTTTCTTTAAACTCACTCTCACTGCTCTGGTTTCTGGCACAGTGCTGCATCATTTAAACAACTTTTACAGTCTCAGATGGACAGAGACCGTGCGGAGGTGGTGTGACCAACCAGCTGGAGTCAACACTACATTCTGGCCAACGCCTTTCTCTAGAAGACATTCTGCTCTGACCCAACGGAAAGTTGTGAAAGAAGACTTGTTACCCGTTACAGAAGCCTGTCTGAATAACCTTCAGCATTCACCCAAAGCAACAAATTCCAGAACTTAATAAGGCARCAGCTATTGACCAGCAGGCCCTGGSAAACCTGGCCATCAGTAAGARTATCAACTCCTTAGCAGCTCTCCAACAATTCTGTGTGTACACTGAGGAACTTTTTCTCAATAACTGAGCTTTGGAACTGTTACATTTTCCATGTTTTGACTCCCTCACCAGTGACAGCAAAAGATTCAGTCACTATACACCCACTGTGCTTTCACAGATTAACTTTGTTTCCTGGGGCACCAGCTAGATGTTCTCMTCCCCCTTCTGCACCTTTGGTCCGTATTAACAGGCCTGAACTCTCCAGTTTTGTCTCCAGTAAGTGACAAATGCCTGGACTAAAAGTCAGGAGGACATAGTTGAAGATCAATGCATACTGCATTGATGTAGTATGCATTCTTCTCTCATATAAAAAAAGGTAATGTAAAAAGAGCCATTTAGGGCTCCACCTAGGCTGGAAGAGGGGCGAAAGAGTAAGTTGTTCTCCAAACTCCTACATGGGCTATTCAGGCCCTGGAACTCAATGCTATGGACTCCCTAAAGAACAGATGTGACATGCCTTGAGGTCACACGAGAGCCAGTAGGACTGAGCAGGCATCAAGACTAAGGGAAGAAAGAAAYGCAGATGTCATTACTTGGCTGATGACATAGGTCAGCCACAGCACAAGCACAAGGCAGAGTGACTCCCAGGCATGTCTCTGAGAATCAAGGCTTCTTGGAGATGCTCTTTTTCCAGATCAATGCCTGACTGCATCTTTTTGCCCAGAAGAGAACCAAGCATCACATTCTCTTCCCTCTAAAGCAGTCAAACTGAGAGGAGGGAGCTTCCCTCCCTTTTGCAGCCAAAACACAGGATATTGCATATTCAGGATGGGTGTAAAACACCCCATTGTGCCCATTCAACAGTGGACCAATGTGATTTTGCKTATAAGGCAGTGGTAGGAAAATGACATAAAATTTGGCTTGATATATCCCAGAAGTTCCTCCAGCTTCCTGTTCAACAGCCTGAACTTTAATTCCTTAGAGAGAACTAATTCATAAAAGGCAGCACCACCAGCTGATAAGCCTCTGCACGTTCAGCATGAAAGAGGCTGATGCAGCCTCACTGGAAGGGTTGTGTATCCCCCAAGGAGAGAGACATAAGCAACCCTTGAGAATCATAATGTCAGTATGAATGTGACTGTGGCAGGGTGACAAACATCAGGTACAATGTTATATGGGAAAGGACTTGGGATAATTATTCATGGAGCTGCAATKTGAGACTACTAGAGCAGAGAAAAGGGAAGTAGGAAGAGAGGATAAAATTGTCCCCAATGCTTTCAGCGTTTTCAGAAACAAAGAAAGAAGTAGCCAAAAAGAATTGTATGTGCCACTTCTGTAAAGCCAGAAATTCAGTCTTTGGTGACTGCTGTTTTGACCTTTGCCTTCCTGATCACAAACAGGCTCCACAGAGCAGTCATCCTGAAGAGAAAATTCCAAAATCCCACTACCTTCCCTCTGTTTCTGATGTAGAATGAGGCCCAGAATATTTGCTGGCACTAGGATCAAAATAAATAGAAAAGGATGTCATAAATGCAGATAACAAACAAGGAACATGTAAAAAATACAGATAGTAAACATTTTGTCACAAACACAGACAGGAACACATCTGATGGTGGTAAAGGTGAATCTAATCCTTTCTGGGAATCCTATACTTTATCTAATGTATCCATGAATCACCACAAAAATAGCACTTGGAGCTTGATTATCTGTCAAGAACTGGAGCTTTTGACTGGCTCACATACCCAAAACATCTCTGTATTATAGTGATACTCTTGCCACCACACAGCTTTCTGCTGCACAGCCCRGGTAGGCTGATGCTAGGATGGAAATTCGTTCACTTCAAGTGAGAGTGATAGATGTGATTCTGGTGCCTCAATTAAGGATAAGGTCTCCCAGTGATGTGCTTCTYCCCCTCCCTTTCATGCTACTCACACCAGTCAGATGGATGAAATCTTCAGGCCCAGCTCAGGACAGGATCCTCTGACAATGACTTGCACTCTGTCTTCTCTTCACATGCAACTGCTACATAACAGCTCATACCTACAGAAGTCAAAGAGAAAGAAAATGTTTATTAGTGCCATTAGTCCCACTGTCCAACACATTTACAGAGAGGGCTGTACTAAAGCAATAAGTCATTCACACAATAATGGTACTTTTAGATGAAACAATTACTTCTGCTTACCATGCAGGAAGCATAGCATAATTAGTATAAACATCAGTCTGCCCAGATCTGCATCCCAGCATTCTCTGTGTGAGAACCAATATTTACAGCTCTCTCCAGGGAAGGCTGAAACYACATCCGTTTTCCTGCCTTTCTGTTAGAGATTCCCCCTCAAGCAGCAAGGAAAGCTGAATAGAATGCCTCMTTACAACCTACAGTCGGTTTACTAATGTAAATAATTGTTGATTTCAGCTTCATTCAGTATATTAGTTTGCAAAATACAAAACAAAAGAAGTAAACACATCTRTGCTGCTATCCCTAATGTGGAAATAGATTGGGAACTAGGGGTGACAACAGCCATGAAATGTAACTCCCCATTGCCAGGAATAAAAAGGCAGGAAGCAAACATATATTGAGAAACATATACTTTAGGTGGTCTTCAGACAAAWACCTTGGCTAGAATACACAGCTAGCCAGACACAGGCAGAATTCACACAGAACAACTTAATTTTTTTTTTGCATGCACTGATGGTGACTAAATGAAACTATTCACCTCCAGTCCAATATTAAGTCTAAAYAGTAAGACCTGCCAGAGATTTGATAGATGGCTGTGTACCTTCATTGTTCCAGTCAATAACATTAACAGCAGTCTGCTGTAGTGAGATGCCTTTGCAGTTTGACTTGTAAGTATTGACACTCTCATCTTTAATCATGTCACTTATCAGGCTGAACTAGTCAGCCAGTCACCCTGAGCTCCTGCTGTACTGAGTGGAAAGAGGGGTTCTTCCAGAGGGTAACACAACCTTTCTCTACACTACCTTCTTCATACTCCTCTGTATTCAACCACTTAAAAAGGAAGTTGAGGAGACCCACTAGTAAAGTTTGATGCCTATAATGGATGACTGAACAAATCCTTGTGGGTATTTTATTCAGGTTCTGAGGGGGGTGAAGTCACATTTCTTTCAACAAGCAGTGCAAGACCAGAACCTCCAATGGCCCTATATAACCAGCCTGTCAGCCAGCAAACCTCACCAGTTAGATATTCTCATGACGGTACACACAGGGCATAAACACGACATGGAGAAAGCAGAATGTGATGCTCAGAGATAAAAGCACCCATAAAGAGTATCAAGGATCTTGCATRGGAGCCATCTCAGACCATGTTTACAGAGCCCTAATAATACAATGCTTTTACAAGCCTCAAGACCTCTTTCAAGACCCATGAAGATCACCAGCAATGAGCCTAGAAGAACCAGGGTAGTTTTTCAATAAAACTAGAATAAGTCCCAGGAAAACAGAAGCAGAAACAAATGAGAGTTTTCTGTGCAGGATGATCTAATAGCTTTTCCACCTCGGACACATATAAAGGGACCAGCGAAAGGACACACATTTGAAAGCATTGGAAAGAAAATTTCCTATACAGGTGCCCAGAGTATGCATCGAGAGAGTTAATATTCCAGTGGCAAGGTCAAGCCCTGGCTTTCCTGCAACACAAGAAGCTGCCCTGCTGGYATTAACTGCAGTTTGTTTGCTTTCCCAACCTGCCTTGTCCTTGTGAGTTGGCAAAAGGCTGAAGCTGGCCAGAGTCCCAACTACCAAAAGCTGCCCAAAGCAGAGAACTGTTATCACAAGGACCGAGAGCAAGATTGAGAGGGGGAGGAGAGGGTAAATGGCACAAAACCCAAATGATAGAAACTTCATTGGTGCTGTGGATTGCTACAAGGCTCTAAGCTGGCACTCAGCCAGGGAACTCAGCCAGACAAGAGAATAGAGGCAGGTTATGGCTGGTTTGTGCCCCAGTCTAGAAGAGACACCAAAACATTCAAACCTTCCCCTTGGAAATGTGCCCCACTTTAGCTACTGGAGGACCATAAAAAGCCATTTTTGCTGAAAAATCAATGCAGGGCTCATTAAAAGATTCAGTTTAGAYAAACTTTATACCTACTGCTGTTAGAGACAATCTTAAATTTCCATAATGGCACCAAAATTAGGGACCTGAGAGTGCCAGAGAGAACAGACACCCCCAAAAACTTTTCAACATATTCTGATTTTAATTCTGTTAGTACTCAGCTGTGTTCTGGATTTATCTGTTTTTCAAAGTTTGATTTCCACTGTAAAAGGAAAGACTGCTGAAAGAATTTCTAATAATAATACAAAAAATACATGGATTCTGCCTGCACAGGAAACCAGCAACATGCACCAATGATAGCTGAGCTGCTCAATGAGCTACAAAAAGCAGCTCCCACACAGAAACTTTGAATGAATGCAGCAGGTGAGTAAATCAAGTGAATGGAGAAGAAAACTAAAAACCACCACAAAACCAAACCAACCCAAAATCTCACCACACTTCTGATAAAGAGGCTTCCCTGCAGAGTTGAGAGTTTTCTTTTTTTTTTCCTTTAATTTTTATAACTACAGGTTTCCCTAACTCTTGATAGGTCTTGAGTTTAGAGACAAATAAATCACTGTGGCTTAACMCAAACTGCAGATTTTGTAGTTCTGCTGCATTGAGCTACAGCCTCAGACTGCCCTGGTATCCAAACCCAGTATCGGAGGCTTTTCAGAATGACATGGAAAGGGARTAGCAGGAACACCACAGGCATGAGTCCAAACGACAACAGTAACAACATCCACAGTTTTATAGATGTTTSTGGAGGCTGCTTTATTCCATGCTATGGATTGATACATTGGCTGGCAATACTATGGTAGTGCAGAATCAAGCTCTCTTTTTCCTTCTCCCTTTTTCAGATAACAGTCAGGGACTTCTGAAAAGGCTTGGACACAGGCCACATTCAAACYACATCCCTATGGAGAAAGGAATGCTGCCAAAAGCAAAAAGGAGAGGTGAGAAACAGGAGAAAATTTCTTGCTGCAGACGGTGACCAGGCATGATCAAGCAGGACAAGTCTATGAATACACTTTTCAGCCCTGGTAACTCCACCTAGTCCCAACTAACCCACTGTAGACACCGACATCAGCTCAGCATGCTCTATTCTCACAGTAATTTTCCACACTTCACAGCCTGAGCTCACACACAACCAAGCAGACAACACAGCTTCCAGCACCCCCTTAGGCTGCAATGGAAAACACTTTCCAAGTGATCTCACACCTGAACACAACAGGAGGGCAGCACACACATACACAGCCTCCAGCTCAAGAACTGGAGGTGCCAAGCAAAAGAAACATAGGAGTTTCACATTGTTTTCAAGGTAAAAAGAGAAAGGGGCTGACCCTGCTTGACTTCATCATGGTGTTTGTACAGCGCCCTGTGCTTTGGGCACTGAGCTGCAAAATCAAAGCAAGTACAATGGCAATGAAAACATAATCAAACACATCAGTGTGGGGCCAGCTTTGCAATGGAAAAGCAAAGAGTAAGAAACTAAGATCAACAAACAATACTTAGATCTAAAGACCATTTAGAAAATAACAAATTCAAGCAGCTCTGTAAGACTAGCAGGATAAAAATATTTTGCCATTGTCCACATAAGAACAGGCAGCCCCTTTTCAAGGGATTTAAATGGACAAGATGCATGAAGGGGAAAAAGATGCACGGATGAGGAGGGATTTGACCTGATCACCTAACACCCGAATCAGTGCCAGGAACAAACTGTGACTCCAGCTCTCCTAGCACAATGCTCTTTTCATGGTCTATACTGCCTCTATGGCTGAAAATTGACACCCACCTTTTGAAAGCATTTTCACTGAGAACAGCCTTTCACCATCCCACCTGCTGGAGGTTACAATCCCCGCAGTGCTCGCAGCAGAGGTGTCCAAGTGAACACTTCATAATCCACAGAAGGCTGACTCCACCAAGTTAAACTGAACAACTAGTAAAGATAAATTAAGCTCATCTATTTTCTCAATGCTGATCAMACAGCACTCACATGTACCCTTCAGCTGGCAAAGCTGCAAGTGAATTCAACCATTGGTATTGATGAAGCAACAAGCAGCAATGGAAGGCCAGACAAGGGTCCCTGTCTTCAACCTGAGCAACTGTTTGCAAAGCTGATGCTTGTCCTCAGTCTCAGATACAGTTATGTCCTTCCACTCTGGAAGTCTTGTCATTCAGCTAAGAGGATATATCAATGGACATTCTAAAAATTTATTTTCTGAGACACTCCATCATGAGAGTTTGAGCTTAGTAAGTATCAAATACAACAAAAATTCCATCCTCAGCTAGTGTAGCAAAGATCAAATTCTGATAATATTTTTGCTAACTACAAATAATCATCACCATCAAATTGTTACTGACCAGCCATCTCTAATATCTTTGGGTTTTGGATAGTTCATTAGATTTTACAAAACAAACTGCCTACATGCTATGAATATGGACTGCTTAGGGACAAATGGCCAGAGTTCAGCCTGTACCTAGGGGCTAGAATGGCTCAAAGAATATTGCTTTGGGCCAAGAGAAACACTGAAGATAACCGTGATGCTATTACTAATCTACATGCAAGGCCAAATCCTGCTAAAGCATGTCATTTTCAGCAAAGTCATCAGAAGAAGCAAAAGTAYATTCCAGGGTAGATCTTGATTTCTCAAGACTGGCTTAGATTTTCTCCAGTATAAAAATGAACTCTTCTAACTGACAGACCTTTTAATTTAGTGAGCTTATGTAAACCATTGCCTTTCTCCACCTACTGCTCAACAAACACGACCTATATAATATGTGACCTCTAAATGCAAATTCCTTACATGGACTACTTGGGCTCAACTCTGTTGAGAAAACACTGCCAGCACATAACAAATTAACTCGAGCTGCCTCCTAAGAAGAGGCTGCTGCCAAAATTCCTTTCAGGTTTGTTCAGTCCATGTCCAAAAGACTGCTTTTACCTGTCAAAGTGAGTCAGCAAAATCCATTTCACCTCTAGTCCAATAC